CCCCAAAACCCCAAAACCCCAGCTATTAGATATTGATCAAATGTTTAGAAATTCTTATTCTAAAAAATAAAAGATACTAAAATGCAATCCTCTTCATGTGATAAGATCAACAGAATTTAGCCTTAGAGAAGTCCATTTCAGGGTGCATTTTCATAAATTCGGAGAGTTTGTCTCTCTTTTCTAATTCCTCTGAGGTTGGGAGACCTTTTTCCTTCTATCTCTGATCGAACATCATCTTTTCAACTACTCCTCTAGTCTCTCCATCCAAGTCAGATAGCTTTGAGTTTTCTGGCTCAACCTTAGAAGTATCTATCTTGGCATCACCCTCGATAACGCTATCCCACCACTCTTATCTATTGACCTTGGAAAGGTTGATTTAAAGGGTTCTCTTCACTCCATCCTTTTCTACAGACCAGAAAGAGTCATCGATCTTCACCTTTCTGTGGAACTCACCATCAATGATCTTGTCCTTGCCCTTGATTTGAATGGTTAGCTTCTTTGTCTATATTTTAACATCAAGCATCTTAGCCTCAGTTCCATCTGGAAGATCAATATAGACAGAGAGTTCTTCAAGAGTTTAATTCCATCTATACTTGTCAGTATACCCTCCATTACCAGGAAGAGGTGTCTATTTATCGCTCTTTTCTTTCTCCTCTTCACCTTCTACCTTCTTCTCTTCAGTAGTGGTATCATTGCTGTCAGAGCTCTGCTTGGCCTTCTTGGCAGCTTCCTCCTTCATAATTCTTTCAGCCTCCTCTTCAGTAACTTCCTCAACTTCGGCTGATGATTCTCCTTAGCGTCTCTTAGCTGCATCCTCTTATTCCTTCTTCTTTTTCTCCTATTCTTACTTTTGCTTTAGTGCAGCCTCTTTCTTTTTATCAGCTTGGAAAATGTTCAAGTGCTCTGTCAATGGCTTACTGACGAGGTCCTTAGCCTTATCGTCATAAGTAAAGAAATCAGTCTTTCTTCTCATGAAACTGAAGAGGTTGTTGAAGAAGTTTTCAATACCTTGACTTTGCTGAACGGCTGTCATAAACAAACCATCGAGTTGACCTTCCTAAGACATTTTTATATTTATTCAATAATTAATAATCAATCAAGAAATTTCCAGAATGTACTAATCCTTCACTAAAACTTCGAATTCCGTTATCTTGCATTATGGGGTTTTGGGGTTTTGGGGGTTTTGGGGTTTTGGGG